TTTTTTCTTTCATGACCCAAATTTTGTGTGTTTGAAATTGGTTTTTGTTTTTTCTCATTTTTTTTTTTTTTTTGATCTTTCTGTTTTTGATGGAACATTTGAAAAATTATTTGATTCGGTTTTATGATTACAGGGGCTTGCTTGCTTCTTTGTTTCTTTGTTTCTTCTTCTTTCTTTAAAATGACATTCAAAGATCATTGTGGATGGGCCTTATCATATTAATGGAACATTTATTTTAGATTCTGTGTCGGTGTCGGTGTGTGGGTAGGTGTTTGTGTTTCATTCTCATTCTTTCAATACACCTACTGTGGTTTTTCTTAACAACAATGTTTATTGTTATAAGCTTTGGATTCATATTTTCATTTTTTTTTTTTGTTTTTCAAATCGAAAAATCATTTCATAGGAAATTTTCTCCCGAATCTCTGAATCATTTTCTTATTAAGCAAAAATTTAATTTTGTTTTGTTTTTTCATTGAAACAAAAGAAAAAAAACCCATTTACACAGGATTTTGGGGTTTTCAATGTTTCATTTTTTTTTCTTCTTCTATCTTCAACTAAGTCACGATAGTAACCGTTAAATTGAAAAAGAGAAATTCTTTTTTCTCTCTCGCTCTCTCTCTCTTTCCAAACAATCTGATTAAAATCAAGAAAAATCTTAGCATTTCTTCTTGGAAAAAGAATTCTTCATTTGCAAAAAAAAGAAAAGAAAATTCTCTCATTAAGATTGTGTGACCTTAATGATCATCATAATGATGATGATGAAATGTTTAATTTGAATTTGAATATCGATCGAAATGTCGAATCAATTTTCGACTATTGAGCAAAACAAGAAAAAAAATGAAAATTTGGCAATGTGTTTATCACATTGGACAATGATGATGATGATGATGATGATGATAATCATTTTTTTCGTTATTTCAAATGATGACCATGATTTTGACAATTGACAAAATCATATCCGATCATGAATAAATTTGTTTTTGTTCACACAATTTGATAATGATGATGACTTTGATTTTTTGTTGTTGTTTAGTGTTTAGTATTATCATCATCCTGGTTATCATCGATGGTGATGATCATGGTTCGATGACCATGATTTTTTTTAAAATCTCTCAAATTACAAATGAATTAACGTTTTCAATGTTTTTTTTTCGTTGTTGTTGCAATCATTGATCATTGATTGATTGATTCATTGGTTTGATAGGAAATTAATTTGTTGTTTTTTTCCAAGTATAAATCCAAAATTACAATCAATCAATCAATGATCGAATCTTCATAATCATCATCATTATTATCATCAAATGTTGATAATGCGGCAAATATTACGACCCAAAAACGCACGTGCATATTTTTCATTGACCAAAAATGATTCATTTTTTCATTGCCAACCAGATAATGACATTCCTCCCACATTATCATACTTATTTTGTTTGTTTGATTTGGTTTTTTCTTGCCCCAATAACACACACACACACACGTTGTGCAATGTTTATTTTTCCATATTTTAATGGTTTTTTTTTGTTACTAAACCTGATTCATTGAAATTCTGATGAAACGAAACATTTTTTTCATTTTCATTTTCATTTTCCTATGAATTCGTTCAACAGGCTTTCTATGGTTTTCTGTTTTGTTTGACAACGAAAATTGATCTAATTTTAGCTACAGAAAGAAAAAATTGAAAGAAAATTATAATGTAATCATAACGTCAGAAACGTTGTTTGGAAATGTTTCTTTTCTTTCTTTCATTTTTCTTTTTTCGCTATTCAGATCAGTGAAAATGAATAAAGAAATGAAGAAAGATCATCATGATGATGATGATGATGAAAAAAGGATTTTTTATATAAATAATAAGAATTTAGCTAATTCGTTTCGTCAATTA